TTTTTTTTTTTTCTTTAAATGTTTCCTTTATTTATTTTTTTCTTTTTTATGGTCAGCTCAGCCCACCCTGGGGGGCAGGGCTGGCATGGCATGTGGTGCTGGGGATCGAACCGAGGTCCCTACATGCTTGCCTAAGCTTGCCAAAGCAGGCGCTTTAGACCACTGAGCTATCTCGCTAGCCCTATCCATGTATTCTTGAGAGTGGAATTTAACAGATCTGTGGAGTGATGTTTTATTTTTAGTGGTGTGTATTTTTTTAAGAGAAAAGCATCTTTAATTCTCCATAAATAACTATTTATGACCAGGAGCTATGTCTAAGGAATATAACAGAAACTTGTGGTTTCTGAGAGAGGAAAGTGTAAAGCTATGTGTGACCTGCTTGAGCAGGCCTACCCTCTACAGTTCTTCCATTCCCCTTTGTGTAGTCTGGCCACTTCCCTGGCAGTTTTTGTTACTGTGATCATAGAAATTGTGATTTCTGTGTCTCACACCACCATGCCTGAAAGAAAATTACACATAACTCATCTCGGGTCCTTGTTTTGAGTTGATAAAGTGACAGGAATAAAGACAGGAGGAGAGGAATTACCTGTACCCTGATGTAGTTCCTGTTGAGCTTGGCTTCCTTCAGCGATACTTCCTTGCGGGATCCCTTGCTAGTGTTCATAGCCCTCTTAACTGCCTAGGGGTCCTTCCATATGAGTGAGTTCATTGTTATGGAGGATGTATATCTCTCATATGTCTACCTATCGTGGCCATTTGGTTTGTGTACACTGCCTGTGCAAAGAAGTGATACACTGTATTCTTTGGGTGCCCTCTAGTAGGCACAGGAATTAAATTAGAGCTGTTTTGTGAGAGAGATTCTTGGGGGAAAAAAAAGATGTTACTTTTTTTTTTCCCCCAGAACCAGGGATTGAACTCAGGCCCTTACACTTGCCAGGGAAGCGCTTATTCTACTGAGCCATCTCCCCAGCCCCTTTGTGTTTTTTAACTTTTTGACCAAAAATATAACCTATTTTTTAAAATCTGACAGAGGCCGTTGAGATAGCTTAGTGGTCTAAAGCACCTGCTTAGGCAAGTGTGCAGAGACTGTGGTTCAATCTCTGGGCTGAACTGGCCATAATAAATAAATTAATTACATGAAATAAATTTTGACATAGGAGAGGGCCAACCAGGTAGCTCAGTGGACTAAAGCGCCTGGGCTGTGGTTCAATCCCTAGCATGCCATGCCAGCCCCACCCTTGGGGTGTGCTGAGATGATGAATAAGACTGAGCGTGGTGGCAACGGGAGAACTACAAGTCTAATCTATGTAGTGAGCCCCTGTAGACCCTGTACTAAAATACGAGAAAAAAAATTGACATTAGCTTTTTGTTTTTTGAGACACTATACATTTCAGGCTGGCCTTGAAGTCACTTTGTAGTCCAGTCTATCCTCAAAAAGTTAGTTACTTTGTGTCACAAGTAGCCTTAAAATCAGAGCCTAGTGTGTGTAGAGATGTATTGCTCCTCTCTGGTTTATACCCTGGAATGTTGGTAAAAGGTAACTATGGACAGTTATTAGTTATTATTTACTGACTAAAACCCTGTCTCAAAATTTTAAAAGGTGGCATGAGAATGTAGTTCAGTGTGAAGGCCCTGGGTTCAAGTCCTCAAACTGGGAACCCAGAAGGACCAGAGAAAATCTGCATTAATTGTATTTTCTTTTTCTAGTACTACTATAATTCCTTAACACAGCAGTATCTTTATTGGGATGGAGAGAAGGAGACCTATGTGCCAGCTGCAGAATCTAGCTCTCACCAGCAGACAGGCCTGCCTCCTGCAAAAGAAGGGAAAGAAAAGAAGGAAAAACCTAAAAGCAAAACAGCACAGCAGGTAAAGAGTAGTGTAAATCAGCCAGGGAACCTATAATTTTCTTCTTGATGTATTGATTGGCTTAATTCTTCATCTTTCAGTTGTAACATTTGTATCTGCTTTAGACTCTTAAAACTTGGGCTGGGGCCAGCCTTGTAGCTCAGTGGACTAAAGTACCTACTTAGGCAGAGTGCCCCAGCTGGGGTTCTGATGTTTGATGTGTGCCGGCCCCACCCCCAGAGCAGGCTGAGATGGTGATTGACACTGGGCGTGGTGGCGCACCTGTAATCCCAGTGCTTGGTAGGCTGTAAACAGGAGAATCACTACGAGTCTGGTCTACTTAGTGAGACCCTGTAGACTTCTGCCCTAAAATACAAAGGGGGGGGCAGTTTTAACTGGGGTTGTAGCTTTCCTAGCATGTACAAGGCCCTGAATTTCATGGGAGAAGGGGTGCTTCAAGGATGTGGGCTTTTAAGAAGTATTAATAGGGGCCGGGGAGATGGCTCAGTGGAATAAGCGCTTCCCTGGCAAGCGCAAGGGCCTGAGTTCAATCCCTGGTTCCGCAAAAAAAAAAAAAAAATAAAAGTCTCATTGCTGTGGAACAGGAAACTAAATGTTTTGGGGTGGTGTTTGTTGTTTATTAGATCGCCAAAGACATGGAACGCTGGGCTAAGAGTTTAAACAAGCAGAAAGAAAATTTTAAAAATAGCTTTCAACCTGTCAATTCCCTGAGGGAAGAAGAAAGGAGAGAATCTGCTGCCGCAGATGCTGGCTTTGCACTCTTTGAGAAGAAGGTAACAAAGAACAAAACCAACCATACTTTAAAATGGAAGCCTATGGAAAGCTGAGGCTTATGTATGGCTTGTTTTCCAGGGAGCCTTATCTGAAAGGCAGCAACTCATCCCAGAATTGGTACGAAATGGAGATGAGGAGAATCCCCTCAAAGTAAGGGAGTAACAACATGTTTTAAAGATTGTGTCTGTGTTTTATGTTTTTGTTTCACTTTCTCTTTAAAACTGTATGTGGTGTCTGTTGGTGGGTATTTGGAGTACCTTCTGTGCACATAGAATCCATATTCAGTGACTGCCAGATAGCTCAGTGGATTAAAGTGCCTGCTTTGGCAGATGCAAGGACTGGAGTTTGATGCTTGGCATGCTGTGCTGGCCCCACCCCCAGGGCGCACTGAGACAGCAACTCAGACTGGGCATGGTGGTGCGTACCTGTAATCCCAGTGTTTGGGAGGCTGAAAACAGGAGGATCACTAGGAGTCCAATCTACATAGTGAGACCCTGTAGATCCTGTACTAAATACATTTTAAAAAATCCATATTCAGGTATTTGTTTTCTGTACCTGAAAGCAGGTGTGATGGAGCAGTGAATGAAGCCTGAATTCTTAATCTCAGTTAATTGAGTTTTGTTGCAACTGTAAATAGAAATTTTAATGGTCTGGAAAGAGAAAATTAACACAAGAAAAAGCTTACTCTGCTTGATAGATACTGGTCCCACTGGGCCATTACTCTGATTTGCTGTTGTAACTGGGTTTTTAAATGTGAGTCACTGCTAAATAATAACACAGAATAATCAGAATTATCCCACATTGTAGGTTAATTATTTATTTTTACCCAGGTACATAGCAGCTGTTATTTTCCTGTTGTGTATTTCCAATAACCCATCCTCCTTTGTTCCCAGAGGGGTCTGGTTGCTGCATACAGTGGCGACAGTGACAATGAGGAAGAGCTGGTAGAAAGACTTGAGAGTGAAGAAGAAAAGCTTGCTGACTGGAAAAAGATGGCCTGCCTGCTCTGCCGTCGCCAGTTCCCTAACAGAGATGCTCTGATCAGGCACCAGCAGCTCTCTGACTTACACAAGGTTGCCTTACTTCCCTGAGCTGGGTGGAGGTGGGGAAGGAAGGCAGTAAGATGATAAGAGTGACCTGATTATGGTGGGAATGTACCAGAGTATAGAGTGGAGAGCAGCAGTACCTCTCCATGCACCCTAGGTTCTGATTTTGATGTTATGTGTATTAGGCTTTGCCTTTTAAAATATAATAGTGATAATGTTATGACATTTCACATTAGTGTGGTCTGAACTCTAATTGTAAAACAATCTCTTATATAGCAAAACATGGACATCTACCGACGATCCAGGCTGAGTGAGCAGGAGCTGGAAGCCTTGGAGCTGAGGGAGAGAGAGGTGAATGAGAAACAATGTGCCACTAGGAAGACTGTCTTACGATTATCTTCCTTTAATGACTTTGTTTCATTTTGATTTGTTTTTGCTTATACTAAGACAGTGTCTCTTTTACTACCTAGGCTGGTCCTGAACCCCCGAGTTCAAACAGTCTTCCTACCTAAAACCTCTTGAGTGACAGGGGCTATAGACACACAACGCTGGGTTCAGCTTGGCTTTAGCTTTTAAGTTTGGCCTTTGGTTCCAGGTCACTGGGACAGGTTAAAAGGATTTTGTCACCTAGCCCTTGTTTATGTAGGTACACCCAGGCTTTATATTTTTGAGTCCCACGCTGTCATTTCTTGAGGTTGCACAAGATCATAAATAATACCCTTAAAGCTTTCTAAATGTAGGCACACACCTATAATCCTAGAAGTCTTGGAGGCTGAGGCAGAGGAATACAAATTCAAGTCTGGCTGGACAGTTTAGGAACTTAAGAGAGACCCTATCTCAAAATAAAAAAGGGCTGGGGATGTAGCTCAGGGTGAAGACCCTGGGTTCACTTCCCATTATCAAAAAATACCGTCACTAAAAAACCAAGCTCTAGAGCTGGGGAGATGGCTCAGTAGGATAAGCGCCTGACTGGCAAACGCAATGATCTGAGTTCAACCCCCGGTTCCGAAAAAAAACAAAAACCAAGCTCTAAATCAAAAACATTTAGAGTGAAAGTCTTTGAAGTTGAAGTGCATTAGACTTACAAATTGAAGTGTGAATGTTTCTAGCAGTGTTTTTTTTTTTTTCTCCCACATAGATGAAATACCGAGATAGAGCTGCCGAAAGGCGAGAGAAGTATGGCATTCCAGAGCCTCCTGAGCCGAAGCGCAAGAAGCAGTTTGATGCTGGC